TGTGTGTGTGTGTGTGTGTGTGTATGTGCAGTTGTTCTTCTAGTTGTTCCACTCATGTTTCTGCTCTCCCCGTCGAGCAGCATTCCTCACACAGACACTGGTTTGTTTCAGGCGTTTGGTCATTGACGCTTCACACCTGACATGTGCTGAGAGAAAGACACATTCCTGCGGCGAGTGTAAGAGTATCAGTATTAAAGCAGCTCAGACCCAGAATAGCTCTTCAGGAATGCTGTCGTGTGTGTGTGTGTGTGTTTGTGTGTGTGTCATCCGTCAGGTTTTAAACCACAGTCATTCTGTAGTGCTTGTTTATTTTTATCCCTTGTGGTCTGGTTTGGTCAGTAGCAGCATTCCTGTGTGTGTGTCCAGGCCTGGAGAAAGACGGCCGCTCCTCCAGCGCCATGGGCGAGAACGAGCCTCTGGATGAGGAGGACGATGATGACGAAGACGAGAGAGGTGCGGAGACCGAGGAGCAGTCTGGAAACGAGAGCGAGATGAATGAACCCGAGGAGGAGGTGACTGTTCTCAGACGTGTGATTGACAGCTGTAAACCCCGCCTCCTCTCTCATGCGTTATAGTTTACTCTTACATATAGTTTAATGATGATGCACAGAGATGGAGAAAAACACACCAGCATGAGTCACTACAAAATCTAAATTAAATTCATTTGCAAATAATAATAAAAAACACTTGAATTTTATTGATTTATTTATTCATACACACATTATACATATACATATATATATATATATATACCTGTATATATGCGTGTGTGTGTTATAAAAAATAAAAACATTTATATATAAAATTATCAATTTAAATTCAATTCTATGCATGAAATTATATATAAATATATTTTATATATAATAAAAGTTTTATATATCAAATTTATATATATAATATAAATTTTTCCTTTAAAATACAAACACATTTATTTATAATAAATTTTAATTAAAAAAACTTTTACCAAGTGCCAAAAGGTACAAATTACTTTACTTTGATAAAACCACTTTTGTTCATTTATAAATAAAAATACACACACAAATATAAACATAAAAAATTGCTATTCAGCTATATATATTCATTTTGTAAAAATAAAAACATTTATATATAAAATTATCAATTTAAATTCAATTCTATGCATGAAATTATATATAAATATATTTTATATATAATAAAAGTTTTATATATCAAATTTATATATATAATATACGTTTTTCCTTTAAAATACAAACACATTTATTTATAATAAATTTAAATTAAAAAAACTTTTACCAAGTGCCAAAAGGTACAAATTACTTTACTTTGATAAAACCACTTTTGTTCATTTATAAATAAAAATACACACACAAATATAAACATAAAAAGTGTGTGTGTGTCTATATATATTCATTTTGTATATATATATTCATTTATTTTTTTCAAATTCCAATTAATGTTATACCTTTTAAATAAATTTAATATTAAATTAAATGTAAAAATACTTAAGAGCACTTATGTTCATTTATAAATAATAACATTTTATACACATATTTTAAACATAGAACTTAGCCATTCAGGTTTTTTTCTGTTATCTTATGATAAATGCGCTTGATGGAGTGTTTAGAGACCAGATGGATTTAACATTTATGCATAAACCATGTGTTTTGTCGCACACTTGTTCAGGAGGGCTCAGAAAATGAGGAAGAGGAGCGTGAGGAGGAAGAGGAGAACACAGACTATCTGACTGACTCCAACAAAGAGAACGAGACGGATGAAGAGAATAACGTGAGTGTGAGGTCGTGCTGAGGCGGGTGTTGGGCGCTTTCTCTGAGCTCTGAGTTAACGCTGATGTTTGTGTCGGTCAGGAGGTCACTCTCCGCAGCGGAGGACTCAAACATGTGGAGTGTGCCGAGGATGAGGACTTCATCCAGGCGCTGGACAAAATGATGCTGGAAAACCTGCAGGTGCACGAACACTCTCCAAACCATTGTGCTTTAGCTCCTGTACATCCAAGATGTACCCTCTTTACTTTCTCAATCTTAAAATGTGTAGTTTTGTGGCTTTTAGTCCACGAATGGATACTGTTAAAGTCACATATGTGCTAGTGTAGTGCTGGAAGTATGCTTTTTTAAATTATTTTTTTAAAAACTACACCAAGAAAGTAGTCAGTAGCACTTGAGTGCTCTATTCCAAGTCATATGTGACCCTGGAGCACAAAACCACAAAAGTCATAAGGGTCAATTTATCGAAATTAAGATTTATACATCATCTGAAAGCTGAATAAATAATCTTTCCATTGATGTATGGTTTGTTAGGATAGAACAATATTTGAAAATCTGGAATCTGAGGGTGCAAAAAAATCAAAATATTGAGAAAATCATCTTTAAAGTTGTCCAAATGAAGTTCTTAGCAATGCATATTACTAATCAAAAATGAAGTTTTGATATATTTACGGTAGGAAACTTACAAAATATCTTCATGGAACATGATCTTTACTTAATATCCTAATGATTTTTGGCAT